GTGGTGAATTAAAGCCAGTAGTAACACTGTTCCAACCTTTTTTGTTGCCATGGACTTGAGCTCAGATGGACCAAATTCTTATTTTCGCTTCCTATTTTTTGGGTTAAAGAAGCATAATAGACACATTGTATTCAGTAAGGTTGGCAGAACATACTGTGACAATGACTTAATGACATGAATAGGAGAAATATTGCACAGTTCAGCGGCTCACTTCATGTGCTATTGTCCCCTTTTGTGATACGGAGAGATCAAAATTATGAAATATCATGCGGCACATGTGGGATCTATTCAGCGATGTCACAAAATCTCCCATTGCAAAAAGAAAAAAGGAAAAAAGAAAAAAGAGAAAAGCGTTAAATGGCTTTGCATGGCTGTGTACGGAACCATATGGACACCTCCACATCTTCTCATTTCATACATGTTTCTTTTGACATCAATAATGCCGTGGTATCCAGTGGCGTCTGGAATGCATCCAAAACAATTATAAAGTTGCCTTGGAAACTGAGGTCCTGTGCCAGGGCGAGGCATACTGTCTGCGCTCAGATAACCACATGGAAAGTCAGAGCAAACAAAGCACTTGACAGGGGTGCAAAAATGAGAGAAATGAAGAGACAGAGGGAGGCGAGGGATGGGCAGAGGTGGAGAGACAAAGATGGAACAAAAGCCGGTTTTTTGGGGGGGGAATAAAAAATATAAATGATTAATTGGAATATTTTTAAACTAGGGTGTGAATACTACAGGAAAACCTCTGTCAGTCACCAGAATTCCTTAAGAAAAATAAATTATATCTACACTGAAGATCAAAATCGTTTCAAGGTTAAGCTGCCCCTTCAGTGACACACTCAATTTTCCATGTACAACACAGGGGCTAGATGCACTGTAACCTTATATGCTAACCTAATGAACAAGAGGATGAAAGTGGTGTAATGGGGGTATTTTTACATTCATCTTTAGGCTCCTCATTATGCGGCCAATCTGACAACCTCGTTAGGAGTGCACGAAAGATTACCCAAGCGTATAAAGAGCAGTACCTTTACACAAAAAGGAAATAAGAGCAGAGAAGAAGAAAAGGAATCTTAGAATAGGTAGGAATGTCAAGTGCAAAGCCTCTATGACTGGTACACACATGCATATTATCCAAAGGCTTTACCCCAGTGGGAGCAAGTGGGCTGTGGGAGTCAGTAAGTCAATCTGACTGGCTTTCAAAGACCCCTGACTGTCCAGTCTGTTTATTCAGACGAGAGCGACTGTTTCACAGTCACTGCATCACTTTGTTTTGATCACACTGATGAAGAACATGTGTTTTCTTTCTCTGTGAGCAGTTGATATGATAAAGAAACCTGTCTGTTTGGGTCCCAATACATTAAACATTTTTATTTTACAGTTTTAAAACACCAAAGTTGTCTATTGCTTTACCCACACAAGGTCACTATAAGCGATGGCCATGAAACCAATCAATTAAAACACATTTTTAGGCATTTGCACCTGAAGTGTCAGCAGATCTGTGTGCGAGTGATCATTTGTTCTCATTAGCGTTGCTTGAAAAAAATCAGTAGCCCTTGAGAAAATCAGGTAATTTGTATTCGCAAATAAGGATACTCGACCCAACAACGGCACACAATTTATTAAGCGGCAGCAAGTGCATTTGTGTGCATCTGTGTGTGCTGAGTAGGGTTGAGTGCAGCCCTTTGAAACTGAAGGGGTAACTCCAGCATTTGGCCAACGTTACTCCGTGCTTTTAGCTCAACACTGCACTCTAGTGGATCCAAAATGTCATACTGCAAATTTAGAGTTTTCTATGATTGTGCTTTGATATTGTTTGGAAGCAAAAAATAAGGTTTTGTGCAGAATATTTTACTATTCAGCTCTCCTACTCTATTACAATCTAACAACTTACTTAATTTATTCTTTTAATAATTAATATGCAATATTGCAAACTTGGCATTTATTCTCATTCCACTTTGCAAGCAACATATTAGCTTTAAATGCAATACCATAGAATACAGTGGTATTGCATTTAAGGAACATCTGTAAATGCAATGCCATTGTGAAAAATTGTGTCACTAACACCATTTATGGTGGGGACAGGATGCTGTTAATATTGACTCAGGACTTTGTGGATCGGTGGAGTCTTTGAAGACTTCCTCATTCATATTGTCATTTCCACTGAGAAATGATAATGGACGGACCTAGGGTCTAGATGTTACCCCCCTATTTAAAAAGGGTCATCACACTCCCAAGTCACCTGGTAAGGTCTGTTCAGAGGTTTGATCCTCCTGGAGAGGAGGATCAAATCTTGGATTCAGGAAGATCAATGTGGTTTTAATTCTATTTGTGGAAGACTGGCCCAGCTTTACACCCTCAGCAGAGTACTGTACAGTGCATGGAGTTTGCTCAAGCACTTTTTATTGTTTTGTTGCTAAAAATGCACTATATAAAATTACCTTTACCTTTATCTCAACCAGTCTACATGTGTTTTGTGACCTTCGAGAAGGCATTAAGTCATATCCCTTGGGAAATTATGTGATGGTTACTCTGGGAATGTGGGGTACCTGGCTCTTTCATATGGACTTTCAGGTCTGCATTACCGGCAGTGAGCCAGGCTCATTTCCAGTAAGAGTTGGTATCTGCCAAGGTTGCCCTTTGTCATCAATTTTGTTCATAACCTTTATGGACAGAATTTCTAGGCAAGGTCAAGGTGCTCAGATAATTTTTTTGTAGCCTTATGATTGTGTCTCTGTTTTTGGCAGATTATGCAATATTATCACCGTCATCAGGTTGTGGTCTGCAGCTTTCACTGAAGAATTCCATAGCCTGGTGTAAAGCGGCTGGGATGAAGATCAGTGAGTCCCAATTTTGGCCATGATCTTGAGCCAGAAAAGGGTATAGTGCTTTCTATGGGTCAGAGAAGAGATTCTGCCCCAAGTGGAGTTTAAATATTTAGATTTTCTGTTTACAAATGAAGGAGAAATAGAGTTTGGTTAGAGTTTTTTTCAACCCATGTGTGGGTTGTATGTGGGTTCAGTATCCACATGGTGATGTGGGTACTGAACCGACATGTCATGGCGAAGAAAGATCTGAGCCAGAAGGTGAAGATTTTGATTTATTAGTTGATACACATTTAGAGCCACTGCTCTTTCACAGTGAAATTGGCTGAAGTGGCTCTATGGCACCTGGCTATAATGCCAACTGGATTCTTCCCTGGAGAATGTTCTAGGCATGATCTATCGGATCCACCAGAGGAGGGTAACGCCTAGGAACTCCCCTGGAGAAACTGACCCAAGTGACTGGGGAGATGAAAGTCTGAATCACTCTTCTTATTCTGCTACTACTGCGACACATGACCCCAAACTAGCAGAAGACAATGGATGGATCTCTTTACAAAAAATGGTTGCATAATCCAATGCCTTTTAGATAGAAATACAGTGCACCATATGAATACTTAAAATGAGGTTCACAGTGTTTTGCAGGACAAACCAACACTAAAACAATATTAGTAAGGGATGCATTTTGAATTCATCCCATAACACATCTCATCTGTTGCACTATAAAGTCTGGGTAATTTATTATAGGTAGAAAACTCTGCAGGATAGATGACTTAAACTTTTAAGATCTTAAACTTTAACCACATCAAAATTAACCCATCATTAAGAGCCATCTACATTTTTATATGATGATATTTCTTTTTGCTTAAAAATATTATTGTAAGGCTTAGAAGCCACTAAATAATCACATAGAAGAGACCAAATTTACTATGTAGACTGTAATATTAAAACACTGAGAGAAAGGTCAGGAGTCATCTTCATAGTTATTCTTCATTCAGTTAAGTAACACAATAAATAAATCACACCAAAAATCTGAAATTCTGCTGTATGAGGACACAGTAAAAACACATGTTTTGCTGTAGAAAACATCCTAATGTTTTACAGCATCCTAATGACCAGATGGCCATTGCACGGGAGTAACACATGGAAGAACTTGACCTTTAAGTTGATAAATTTCAGCATAAACTCCTCCTGACACTGTAAATATCTTTCAAAATGTGGAGTAAGCAAGGGAACCCTCACATATGGCAAAAACGCCTAATGCTAAATGTTTATCCCACCAACCAGAAATCTGCTTCGAAATGTTTCACAAATTTAATTCATTTTTTAAAAAAACTATCTAATCAAAAGACAAATTAAAAGTAGTCATCCATGCCTTTGTAACAAGTGGCCTGGTTTGTGTAATTACTTGTACCTTGGATTTACTAAATCATCCCTATAATCCATTCATGTAAAATACCACTGCACATGTTTTTAACTGGAACACAAAGAAGAGTGCAGGTCCCTCCAATTTTGTCTTCTCTGGAATGCTTGCCTGTCCATTTTAAAGTTTATTTTCAAACTTCTTTATTTATTTTTAAATCTTTAGATGATCTTGCCCCTCTGATCATCTACCACACTTATTTTTACATGTATTAATATTAATGGTTTTAAATGGTCGTGTTTTGGTACAACAAAACAAATTTATATATATATATATATATATACATATATATATATATATATATATATATACATATATATATATATATATATATATACATATATATATATATATATATATATATATATATATATATATATATATATATATATATTATATATATATATATATATATATATATATATATATATATATATATATATATATATATATATATATATATGTATATGTATATATATATATAAATTGTATGTTGTAGTTATTATTTAAGGACTTTCTGCATTAAAACTCAGTTTTCAACACCTTCGTGTGCTCTGTTTATTTCAGCTCTAGTCGCGTCTGCTTGCTTCTGTTCGCTTAGATCTACTGTGCGATATTCCCATTGGCCCAGGAGAGCAGGAAGTGCTGTGACGTTTTCCAATCAGATTAGAGGTTTATTCCACTGCTTTGCTTCCATTCTGAGTGACCCGTTATTATTGGAAGTAGCACGTCAAAAATCGGTGAGTATTTATTTTTGTGTCGCGTTTTATGTCTCGGCTTTAATGCTGAGTTTGAAGCTGTGGGCTTCAAACGTGGAAAAAAGTAGTCCGACGGAAAGCTTTGCACGAGCGTTTCAACGAAGAGGTGGGCAGATGAGACGTCGGTGTGCGCTGCGATTCTCTCCAAACGACGAGACGCGAGGAGTAAACATGCATAACACGACCCGTCGCCGCGATCTCCATTGATGCAAATCTCTACACAGGAGGGACATGGCTGCTGTGCCTATTGTTGGAGTTCACGTTTAAGTCTGTTGTTAAACTAAAGCAAGTAAGAGGATTTCCCACGTTGCCGAGTTATATCTGGAAGCCTTTCACTTCCAGATATAACCAGGAATGTCTGTGTCGCCCACCAGCACGTAGACCCCAGTAGCACTGAGGTTCTCCGGGCGACACCGACGACTTGAGGAAAAACACACTTCCTCATGTCTTATATATATATTTATAGATATTTACTTTGATTTTCTTTTTTTTATGAAGCAAAGACTATCTGAATTTCCTCAACTACGACGGTTCAGCATTTGTTTATGACTGTGACCTAAATTATCACAAGATGGCGCCAGTTTGCTGTTTTAAACAGTTTCTTACACATCAACAGGTCTCCCAGCATTCTGAAGACATGAACATGTACGCTGTGCCCAGCCCAGGAATACCTGGGTGTCCACCAGGATTAGAGTACCTGACAACTGTAAGAGCATGCTCCCCTATATTACAGTTAAAGTGCACCTTGATATCCTTTGGAAAAGTTAAAAGTATGTGCACAGTGGCTTGCACAAAAAATTACCGCTCTTGGCATTTTTGTTTATTTTTGTTACAATACAAGATGTATTTAAATGTCTTCATTCAATCTAATTTCCAGATAATACATATGCACAAAATATTCTAAGTTGGTGAAGTGAAATAAGGAAATATCTTTCTGTAATAATAATAATAACTTAAAATATTAAGTTACTGAATGTATTCATTGTATGCATCTAAAACATTTCTGGTGCAAACAAACGACCTTCAGAAGTTGCATGTTTGATGAAATGAACTACACCTATGTGTCACATGATCTGTCACCATACACCTTTTGTATCACTTCATGCATTGTCTCAAATGACCAAGCCTTGTGAATCCTGTCACGTAATGTCTAAAACAAACTCCCTTCTTTGTTTCTATTTTTATTGGTTGCATTAAAAAATGAAACGCTTATATGTGGTTTTCCAGGTGGATCAGCTCCTCATCAAACAGAAGGTTGAGGTTGTTGAAGGTACAGTATAAAGTATGAGTATTTTCCTTTTTTTGCTGCAACAACAGCTAATGTTGTATGCTTCAATTCACACAGCCCTAGTCGGTTTTGAAAGCAATAACAAGTATGAGGTGCGAAACGTCATGGGTCAGAATGTGTTCTATGCCGTCGAGGAGAACGACTGCCTGAGCCGGCAGTGCTGTGGCCCCGTGCGGCCCTTTAACATCCATGTCCTTGACAACTTTGGCCAGGAGATCATCAGCGTCACCAGGCCGCTGAAGTGCATGTCTTGCTTCTTCCCATGCTGTTTACAAGAAGTGAGTTCAATCGTCTGGTCACGGATTGGATCTTAGAAATCAAATGGGAGCATTCAGATGTTATTTATGCTGCCTTTCATAAATATTCAGCCCCACTTTATGTGGCAGACCCATAGAAAGTAGCAGGGTAGTGTGGAGAAGAAGAAAAACTGCATGCTTTTTAAAAAAAATCAAATGATAATAATAACATAATGAAAGTTTCAGGAGACATTTTACTTCTATGTCCCTAAATAAAATTTCACCCAAACCTACCAAGGTTTGTTTGTCTGGTTCAATGCACAGGTTGAACATGGAGAACTTTAAAACAGGGAAGAGGCCAGCCACAACTAGGATGGTAAAATTTGTTGATAGGACAAATCATCATTTTTCACTTTTACAAATTTGGCCATTATTGACAAGTGAAAAAAAAAATACAGTTCTGAAAGTAAAGCCAGCAAAATCTTCTCAACATTAAACATGTGGAAATAGATGCTTAGGGCAAATGAGGCCAAAAACAAATATTCTGACCTTGCAAAACACTGTGTGGCAAAATATCCTAAACTCATCATTCCATGGTAGGGTTAGTGGTGGCAGAACCATGCTGTAAGGATGTTGTTCTTCAGCTTGGACAGGAAAGTTCTGTCCAAGCTGGTCAGAATTGATGGAAAGATGGATGCAGCTAAACACCAAGCAGAAAGTGGCTATAAAAGACTTGAGACTCAGGAATAAATTTTACTTCTAGCAGGATGATAACCTAGGGAACTCTTAAATAAAATTCTAATCAAATTGGTTTACTTTTGTGGCATCATGTCAAAATGTTCAATGTTATGCATAGCACAATATTTGTTCTTTGTGTTTTGCATGTATTTTGAAAGCATGGTGGTTTAGGGTCACATTTCTCTGCCTCTTGCAGCTCGAGGTGCAGGCTCCGCCCGGTAACACAGTGGGCTATGTGATACAGCAGTGGCATCCATTGTCTCCTAAATTTATCGTAGCAAATGAACACAATGAACCTGTACTGAAGATCCATGGGCCCTTCTGTGGCTGGAGCTGCCTTCCTGATGTTGACTTCGAGGTGGGGCTCTTTATTTAAATGATTTTAATCATTTAACAGTCGGAACAGCTTTTCCCTTTAACAGATGTCAGGGAGTTTCCAGTGAGGAACAGGACACACTGGCATTTTGGTACAATCTGGCCTTTGTTCTATGGTTCACATAGTTTTATTAGACTGAGCCGTGAAGAGGGATCGGGGTCAGTGATGTAGACATTTTACAAGACCCTGAGGATCATGGTTTATGGCCATAATGTCTCCCTCAGGTCTTTGAAGACTTTACAGAAATAAAGACATTCCTTTGGCCATAAGTAACAATATAAATGAATATAAACTGCTCACTGATCCTTATTCTAATTCAACAAAGTTCTTTTCTATATCCTATCCTGGATGCTTTTTGTCACAGATTTTGACAATGGACGAAGTCAGCAAGATTGGAAAAATCAGCAAACAGTGGACAGGACTGCTACGGGAGGCATTCACAGACGCTGACAACTTCGGCATCCAGTTTCCCATGGATCTGGATGTGAGGATGAAAGCTGTTATGATCGGCGCATGTTTTCTCATCGTAAGTGCAGCATAAAAACATTTATTTTATATATACGTATATACTTATAGCAGCAGTAAATCAGTCTGAAATGTGATGATGACCTGTAATGTCACCATCTTGTAGAGGATGCAGTTTGGGGATTCTCACGTTGTAATTTGCAAGCAAGCATCTGTAAAAGTGCGGCTACCGCAGACGCCATGGCCTCACTTGACCCTGCTCTGATTGGGAATGTTTCTTGTTGCTGGTAGTCAGGATTTTCATGGAGCTTCTAATTAGATTACCACTTATGCTACTTTTAGTATTATTTATGACCTAAAAAGAGTTCAGTGACATTAAATCCAAGACTGTTTGAGCTACAGTTTGGATGAAACTTTTACATGGACCTGCAAAGGCTAGGGATGCCATTTTAATTTTGGGGTTTTGATGATTTATTTGATTATTTTTCTTACACAGGTTTGAATTTAGAGATGTTTTTTCTTCCCTACACAGGGTCAATTGTTTCTATACTCACAATTAAGTATTTAAGTAAATATCCTGAGGCAAGTTGACCACAGGATTTCTGTCGTCTTCAGCAAGCTGCTACCATGATTCTGGCTTTACAAAATGTGATCTTGCGATTTTGGTTGTCTAAAGGTGTAACGAGGCAGAATCGGAGGGGTATTTTTGCTAGTTTTCTAACATGGACTTGGCTGTTGAGAGTAGTTTGCAAATTTCTAGTTGGGCTTGGCTTTCCGAAAGCTCTCCATTATTCTATTTTATTCACTCTAAAGCCAGATTTGGTGTGTGCTTCAATTTGTATTGAGAGGAATGGAGACGAAATCCTTCTTACTCATAATTTCTTGTATTTTATGCCAGTACTAGTTGTAGCAAAAGAACTCACCCAACAGCATAATGCTACCAACATTGTGACTGACAGTTGAAACAATGTTTATTGGTTGGCAAATCTCACCATAACTCTTCCAAACATATATCTTGTCACAAAAATTCAATTATTGCCTCATCCATCCAGCTATCCTTCCCTTTTGGCACCTGCAAAGGTCAGATGAAGGTGTTGACTTTGGATTGAGGGCTTCATTCTAGGCCTTTAGCCTTTCATTACATGGTCACATTTCATTACATGGTCACATGGTCACGTTTAATGTTAGCTGGTGACATTAAACTTGTTTAATGTCACCATCCTCCTCTGACATCAACCCTATTGAGCACCTTTGGCGTTTCCTCAAGCAGAAGATCTGAGGGTGAAATGCAGTTCAATCAAAACAGCAGCTCTGGGAAGGTATTCTGACATCCTGCAAAGAAATTCAAGCAGAAACTATCCACAAACTCACAAGTTCAATGGATGCAAGAATTGTGCAGGTGATAACCAAGAAGGGGCCCTATGTTAACATGAAACTAGGTCTGTTAAGATGTTATTGATAGAGATAGCTTTTGATTTTAGTACATGTGACCACTTAATGCTATACATTCAAAGAATTTGCACTTCTTTATAATTCATAAAATGTTTAGAAAATCTGCTGTGCATAATAATTTGGAATAGTGCATTTTGAGTTTTTTATTTTTGAAAAAAAATAGTGGTCTTATGGGAACTTTATTCAGTAAAATTTTACTTATACTGTAGTAATTCATGAGTTGAAAATTATACTGACCATCATTTGCTTTGACCTTTTAAGAAAATCTGAGAAAATATCAATAATTTGGAACATGGCATAGTTTTACATAAAATCAAGAACTAGAGTTAATTAGTGGACACAGTTTGGTATCACTATCCCAAACTTGCATCAAAATTGACTTTTGAATAGATAAAGCTGTTACTATTAATCTTTTGGAGTGACCTCACCACCAAAGCCTTAACTGCAACTGTGTTTTGTGGACCAGACGTAAAAGTTGAGTTAGTAGCTGGATCAAACTAATAATGAGCTGCACGTACAATAAAATAAAGATGAAATATGATTTATTGCCTAGCTGTCTATTTCCATTAAGTAAATACATTCCAAGCCGTTTTATGATACATTTCCACCCAATAAGTGTTACATGAATACCAGTTTTAGTTTTGGCTTCATTAACACTTTCTTCTTGTTCTTGTTAACAACAGGATTTCATGTTTTTTGAGACTACCAACTGAGACTAGGAGCCAAGCAGGATTTCTACATCACATTCCTGGAGGAACAAGGCCACAAAGCCATGATGATCAGTCCCAAAATGCAGTCCGATCAAACAACCTTCAGTAAATAGAATACAAAAATGAGCCCAAAAGTTCTAACATTGCATGAACAATGAAATGTAGAAGGTTTGTTTTTGCTTCAGCTGCTCAGGTTCGTTGGTCATGTTTCTGTGGCTGTGTGGGTTCTGTTATTATTTTTTGATTTTTTTGAATAGCAGTGATTGTATGGATGTTGCTGTGTTTATTTTTAGGGTGTATTTACATGATGGTTACTGATTCCATATTGAGCCCAAGAGTTTTAATAACTACTATGAAAGATTACTTTATTATTTTTTTTACAGTAAGAAGACACTGGTTTAAGATTTAGAAAAGGAAAAACAGCCATGTTCTGTTACACAAACTATCAAAAGTATCCTAAAAGAATTTTCAGACATTTAACACACGTTGCCAATTTTGTAGGTATGTTAGGTGGTGTGGTAAAGGATTCAAGTAATATAGAAGTTTGGATTTGTGAAAAGCAAACAAGCTTTGAGTGTGTGTTAAGTGATTCATATACTGTAATGTTTTGATGTTTTGCAGCATCTATAATTTTATTTACACAGTTGATATTTTATTTTTTTAGGGATGAACTGTAGCTTCTTATGACATGTCAGCAGTGACCAGGAGAGGGAGCTAGATAATTACTTAGTATTGGTTCATTTTTGCAAATGAACAATTTCAAAACTCACTAATAGTTGGTTATCTATTTATTATTTTTCCATGCTAATCTGTACATTTGGACAAACTCAGGTTGAAATGCATACTGCTGTACTGTAGTTCTGATTACTGCTGATTCTAAAAATTATGCACCTGCATTTAATTCTATCAAGATGATTTATTTTTGTTTCCATCCCATGGAGCATACATGGCATGATCTGTGTATCCATGTTCTTACAGTTCCATTGTGATATTTTTGCAGTTTAAGTATTAGAAAGCATACAAAGCCAAGAGGTTCTATTAAAGCCACTGGCAGCTACTCGCTCTTTGATCAAGTGGAAATGTAACAAGGAAGAGGATTAAGTTCTTAATAATGCCAGTATTTTTATAGTCCTGTTTAGGCATTTTATAATTCTTTTTGTTTGTTTTGTTTAGGCATTTTTTTACAACCCCCATCACTTTGCAAACTTCGAAAAAAAGACCCATCTTAAGCCATTTTGTCATATTTAAGACCTGAAATTCTATAGATTTTTATTTTTGTAAAGGATAAAGACTACTGCCAGTTAGAGAAATTGATTATACCTGTGTGAACCGAAGATGTCCTCTGTCAACAGCGTTTCACTCTGCCTTCAGTGAGACGACACTTACTTGTAGAATTACCATAAGTGGATTTATTTCACCAGATTTATTTCCGTTATTGATTTGGAGACTTTATGACTAGTTCATGAGTTGGTTGTCTTTTTCTAATTTAATGGCATAGAGATTACCAAGCTAAACCTGGAAAAATATAATTTCTGCTGACCTGATCATTTTACAGCGCAGTACAAGTTTGAGATGCTCAGATACATTTTGTTTGTGCTTAAACATCAGTTTGGGACAGAATGTGATGCAGTGTAACTTTTAAGCAGATAAAGCCTGTATTCTACCTTTGCACTAATACTGTGAATTAATAAAATGTTTAGTCCTTGCAATGTATTGAAACTGAGCTTGGCTTAAATTGTGCAAATAGTCTGCAAAACCACCTCAATAAAATTTGCAAAATTGTTCAATTGCAACTGGTTCAATTTTACAGTTTTACTTTATTGAAGACTTTCTGGAAGTTGTCTGTGGCACTGTATTTCCAGTCTCAAAAATATACATACATCCTCTCTGATATCTGGTTTGGTAGTCCTCAGTATGCATCTCCCTTAATTTCCTATTTTGAGCTGTAACGCAAGGAAGAACGGGAAAAGAACATCTTTTTCTACATGTTCTTTTCTCTTTGAAAGGATCTAGCTGCATATCAAACCACAACCAGAAAACTCCCCTCAACCCCAGAAACATCTCTTATTCACTGCTGGAAAACATTCATTTCTTGATTAAACCGTATATTGCAATAGAAAATGAGAGGTTAAGTAATAGTCAACATTTGGTGTGAATTAGATTCAGCGACCACAGGAATACATAGATGTCAGTAACACAGTGATTTGCTGCTTGAGAGATCTCAATCTGTGGGAAATAAAAACATTTTAGCTGGTGCAAGTGAGAAGATGTCAAGTGTAACACATGTTTTGACCAAAGATTTGACGTGTGTTCTTATGGACATATGTCAAAGCTTTGTGTCTCATAAACTGTAAAGCCTCTGTATGCTCTCTATATGGGAGTCAGGCAATTTAAACACAGAGCAGTTGAGATATTTTTGATTTGTTCTGTTTGACTGAATAGGATTTGACAGATGGACCAGCCAGCGGCCATTTGTTGTACCCTATTTACACCCCTGACGGATTCCCATTGTAATAGGTGTTGACCATGTAGTTTTTAACCAAGCAGTCTCTGTTCATTAAACGTATCTGGATTGTCTTATTTTCAGAATATGGACCTTAAACATAATTTTAAATGCTATGATTTATTTTTTAATCAGGATTTTTTTTAATGCAAACTTTGGTTTATAAGTATATAGAGATCTGAGCCAGTGGAGCCATTTCATCCTATAACAAGTCATTAAAAAAAAAAAGAATATTTCATTATTCCTGCAACTTAGCATGCACTGGGAGCTGTGTGGAATGCATTGTGCTCTGTAATAGGGTGACTATGTACTGGTGTTCTCAAAGGCTCTCACTGGAATTTAAGCTATTTGTGTTTCAAACATACTGGGACAAACACATGGCTGAACCCACATCTGTGCAAGCACAGCCTAAGAAAACAACACCCAGAAGGTTAAAGACAGAATCTGTAATTGTCACATAATTAGTTACTTTACTCTGGAATAAGAAAGACAAATCAAGTATACAAGAGGAGCTAAAGTTAAGTATTTTAGAAGTCAAGCATAGGCTAGGGTTTGGGTTAGGGTTAGGGCATATTAGCTAAGTGGGTTGCATTATTTCACTCACCCATGCCCACAGCAAATCATGGTCATGACAGCATCATGATGCGGGACGACGGCTGCAAAGCTACAGATTAATAATTAGAAAGTCAGTTTAAAAGCCATCTGGATTTTTGACAGTTTTGAAAAAAAAGTTATATTTCGGTATAACTTGGTTCATAAATTAAAGTGGCCCAAAGGACACATAATGTATACAGTCCAGACTAGTCTCACTGGTGGAAATGAAAATTCCCGAAAGCACTGACAAAAAGAAGAGGTGGAAACATCTAAGAATAAAACATTTGATTGTTGCTTCCCGCCCTACCAAACACTAAAACCAAAAATGGACAAACAGAATTAATGGCAACTCCTAACTCAATCAAAGCCACAGTCCAATAAAACATGGGTTCAAAAGCATTTCTTTAAGTGTGGCAGGATGCCTGTTGATGGAAGGAGAAGATGGGACTTAAGTCCTGCCTCTGGGTTTGTATGTCCTAGGCAGCCAGTCAACCCTGAAGAGAGCTCTCCATAGCCATTATGGAGAGCTCGTCATAAAACACACACAAAAGGCACAAAATACTAAATACAAATTAACTTAAACATCTCTAAAAACACTCTACTGCTTCAAGTTTAAGTCCCAGTTCAAAAAAGAATAAAAAAAAATCCAGTGAAGAAAATCTATCAAAGAAAACAAACTCCACAACAATTAATGTAGAATTATCTTCAAATGTATGGAAATTTAATAGTGCACAGAAATGTCTGATGAAAGTAATCCTTGTCTCTCAAGTTAAATGGAAAGACGACAAACAGTCTTGCAAGAATTTACGATTACACACATTAAGTCAAGTGTAGCAGCACTTATCGCAACCATATCTTGACAGAGTGATTGATCCTCATTCCAAATGATTGTGCAAGTTTTCTTGTGGTTCTGATGGTTTTTCTTTTTCATGTCGGAGCCTGAATCTCAGAAGTCCTACGCAAATGGAATATCCAGGAGATGATCGCCACTGATCAGCTAATTAGTGGTGAAATTTGGAAAATGTTTGGCCACGTCATTTTACAAAGCGAGTTAAAAAAAAAAGGGAACCTAAAGTTTTCCTTACCACATTATTTGAACTCAGTGACACGAAAAGAAATGAGTGCAAACAAGTTTCACCTGTTTACAATTCTTTTGGCTAAAGCAGCCTCCCACATCAAAATTTTAAGCATAGTCTTCCGTCCAATAAAACGATAAACATAGATTACAGAGTCTGACACATTAATAATAATTTAAAGTTAGCACTGAATATTAAGGAAATCTGTCATTTTAAAAGCTTGATCACTTTTTAATCAATAAAAGAAAGAACTTTAATCACATTTATATTTATTATATATATAAAATAAAAGACACATTGTCATCTTTTTCTGTTTGTGTAAAGTTATTGTTTAGTTAACCTTCTCTATCGTTTGAGGGTGATGGCGACCGAGGATGTGGCAGCCTGGCAGATCCCAGGATCCCTGGGCAACTGCTATCACCCTTAATTTGCAATAAACAGCCCTATTATCTTTTTAAGTTCGACCTCTTCAAATAACTGGCTAATTCGACAATTAGAGTTAAGAGAAAGCTATTTACTTTTAAGCTTAAAAAATTGCTAGGTTGCTTAGATAGCGCATGATGTTGAGTTTTTAGATGCCGAGCCTTATTAAACAGGGGTTCCTCTTTGCTACTCTAACACAGTAGCCATGTTATAAATATGCCTGGTCAAGGTGTGGTACATTTCAGATCCTATTTTTAGTCACATGGACAAAAGTGACTTGCTGAAAGACTAAACAAAAATGCCAGCCAAACCTTTTTTTTCTGTTTGTCCAAAATTGTGATGCTGGTGCACCCACCAGGTCCAGGAAAGAAACCATATATGTCTGTCCCCAGCAACACTCACCCTGTAGTGTTGCCAGACCAGAAGAGGGTCAATCCATCGAGTTCTGAGTCAACTTAATCTCCTCCATGTGGGACATGCCTCGTAAGCCTGCAGAACAGCAGCATTTCTACCTCAAACGTCTCTATGATGATGGAGTTCATCACAGTATGCATGAGGTTGAACAGAGCCACCCAACAGTAGAAGTTTATTTCTCCAACTTGTATCTGAATCCTTATTTTTTCAGCCATAATCCTTATCTAATGGGTCTAGTTGACAGCAGGACCTTTGGCAATCCACAGACCAGAAAGTATGTTCCAGATATCAAGAAGTCTCAACCGCCTTGGAAACATATTACAGTGTTTGAAAAAAAAAAGGGTTTTAACCATTAGTTAAGATTCAGATTTAGGAGATCTGTCACTTTTGTCCACCGTCAAGTTACTGAGGTTTGAGAAAATGTGCTTTTATGGCTCTTTTTGTACTAGTGACCCTTATTTGCAATAGTTAGGCAGGAAACGGGCAGAGAGTGGAAGACATGCAGAAAAGAAACTATGGACAACTGCGTCAAAGATTAATAGCCTCTTTACCTCTGAATGGCGTACCACCCCATAATCAAATAGGTTTAACAAAAATCAGCATAACATAGTTCTCTAACAATGCGAGGGCCGCAGTAACCAACTTAAAATAACTTTTGTTTTTCCTGTAAACTATGCCCAAACTTCTCCTCATGACCAGCTGGATATATAAAGATATGATGTGTCATATAGACTGGTAGCACTGTCTTCAATGATGGGAATCAAAGTATTGGTTTTGTTTTCTCCAAACATAACTAAAAAAAGCTAATTAGTAGTGTGTGACTGCCCTGAATGGCAATGAGAGTGCACTGTAAGGAAAGGTTTGTTGGAAGGTTTATTTTTATTTATTTTCACAAGCTTTGTGGTT